TTTGGACACAAGGCTGCTGAGTCTGTGCTGGCACAGTACAACAGTGCTTCCTGCGGAACTGTCTTGGTGTCCTTCTCTTTGTTCAAGAATCTCGCAATAATACTGGGGCTAACATTCGATTAGTCAATCAATGCACCAGGCAGTCCTAGATACTTTACTCCATTCAAATGAAGAGAGTACAAGGCAGCCATTTTATTCCCACTTTATACTAAACAAAATGAGACTCCAGAATATTAAGAAGCCTGCCCAAGATCACCCAATTAGCAAATGATTAGGGCTTATTAGTCTTAAATCAATCCTCTTTCCTCTACACAATACCTCCCATAGATAGACCTACAGCAACAGTCCTCAACCCAGGCTGCATAGTAGAATCCCCTCCAGAAGAGGCCCTATAGTTTACATTCAAAGGCCCTCAAGTGATTTAGACTAAAAATCAACTATTTATGATCACCATTAACATAAGTTATTAGAGACTATGTAACAAAAGTTTTAACAAAATACATAGAACTGTCTATCACTATAGAAAATATCTGTAGAAAGTCTGAGTTATTCAGTTTATTTTTAATAAATTTCCTCTCTTCTGCCTCACTGTCAAGATGCCAGGTATTCCTGATTATTGTTATCATGGTGCGTGCCTGCATCTACTGACACACCCTACCCACCACCCACCATCCTAATTTGCTGTACTGTGATACAAGAGAGAACCATGTTAATTAAAATAGTAACAGAAAAGCAAACAGGTTTTATATGAGAACCTATCTTATCAGTAAAAGTACATGCACTTTTAGGACATGAACTTTGTGATATCAGATTTGGCTACTCATGGGTCTCTTCTGATTAATTTCTGATTCTTTGTTCCTGATTCTTAAATGTGTATAGTTCTTGATTCTTTGTTCCTGATTCTACATAGCTGTAGATAAAATGTATCTCACTGGGAAATAACTATTCCTTTAAGTCCATCTCCCCAATTAGGTTATGAATTCTACAAGCTCAGGAGCCACGTTTTATTCATCTTTGTACCCAAGTTCCTCACACAGTGTCATATACACTGCAAGTTCTCAGTGAACAGTTGCCTACTAAATGACTCATGGGCCTGCCATGAGTGAAGTTAAAGATATATGGTAATTTGTGACATTATGTACATAACCTTTCATAAGCAACAATGAGCTCTAGGCTATGTGGCTGCTGACTGTTTGCCAGAGCTTTCCAAGTTGTTAGGGCTTTGGTAATGTCCTCACAGTGGCAGTGTGTGCGCGCCTCAGCTCTGTGGCCAGCTTGTTTCAATTCAACTTAACAAGTAGTTCCTGGATCTAGTCATTTGGGATACAGTGGTAGATAAGAACTATTGAATCATTCTGCCTCCCACATATCACTCAAATGCCTTCTCTTCTCTATCCATGTTGCCGCTATCCAAGTTCAGGCCACCATCATATCCACTGAAGTACTGTAATTAGTCTTTCCTTTTTTTAATTTCCTCCCAGTCCATTCACTAAAATGCCATCAAAGTTATCTTTAAAAACAAACAAACAAAAAAAAGCAACCCTGACCACATCACTCTTCTAAACCTTTCATAGCCTTCTCACTGCCCTCAGAATGATATCCAACCCCCCTAAAATGCCTTAACAGGTCCAACCTCATTTTCCTCTCCAGCCATATAGCTCACTACTCTCTAACAGTCTAGCCAAATTATCATCTATATGGAATTCCATTATCAGATCATGCCATCTTCCAGTGGGAAACTGTGCTCAGATCTGTTAAGTAAATTCCAATAAGCATTTAAAAAAAATCTGGACTTAGGGATTTAGGTCTTCAAAGGTGCAAATTTCTCAAGGCCAATTGTTGTCTACTGTAGCCATCCAGTGCTTCCAGTTCTGGAAAGGTAGATTCAAAAATACAAATGAGTAGGGCTGATAAGGTAGAGAAGGTTGAAAACATAAACTTCTTAAGAAAACATACCAAAGTCTCTGTGTCCTGCTGCCTACAAGCACCTGCACATCATGACTGCCTACGAGCACCTGCACATCATGACTGCTCAATAAACTTTTTGTTTAGTTAATTAATAACAAAAATGAAAAGGAAATGAGAAATTGTAAGGGCAGAACAGCCCCAAAATGAAAAGAGGAGTAGACATCTGTCCCAACTCTAACCAAAAAAATGATTCAAGGAAAGAGTTACTCCAGGCTTCTGGGAAGGCTCTTCTTCATTTTTAGAAGAGGACCATAGAGCCTGTTTCTCTCTCCTACAGGACCTGAATGAAGATGCATGTTGTCTTGGTTGTTACTGGCTGCTATTTTGCAGAAAACAATTTAACTGACACTGTGAACAAAGAAAAGAGATAGAGATTGCCATCCTGCTAGCTAATGTTGATCTTGTGGGCTCTCTCCTCCTGGACTTCTAGTTACATGAGCCAAGAAACTTTTTTTGTTTATTATTTAAGTCAGTTTGAACTGTTACTCTCCTAACTGATCCTTACCTGAGAAGCAACAAAGAGAATATTTCTTAAAATAAAAAAATTAGAAAATCATGTTGAAGATGTTAAACACAGCATGCCAGCATTTAATTTTGTAGCCTTGGTAGAAACTAATCTCAAAAATACAGCAAAATGAATCAGTGTTATAAAATATAGGTTTTTCTGTGTCATTAGGATGGCATTGAAAGTATATCAAATAATTCAGAGAGATTTTCTGTGAAAAAAATGTATTCAGCTTTCACTGAATGGAATTAACAGATTAGACAGTATAGAAGGAAATACAAATGAATTTGAACACAGAATGAAACACAGAGAATATACAGGTTGGGGGGGGGAAATGACTAGAGCATCAGTAAGCTATGGGAAAATTCATGTAACACAATTATATTATAACCAGAGTCTCCAAAGGAGAAGGGGGGAGGAAAAGTGCATGAAGAAATACATCAAATTTTTTCCAAATCTGATTAAAAACTGTAACTCCATAGACCCAAGAATTCAAAGGCTACATTTTATTCATCTTTATACCCCAGTGCCTAGCACAGTGTTACACACAAAGCAAGCTGTCAGTGAATATTTGCTTCTGAACAAGAATCATGTGGAGAACTACAAATAAGCATGCCATAATCAAGTTGCTTAAAATCAGTGATTAAGAGAAAACCTTAAAAGCAGTCAGAGGGAAAAACACCTTATATACATAGAGAACAAAGATAGAAATGACAGCAGATGTCTCAGAAAGAATGAAAGCCAAAAGACAGTTGAGCTTCATCTTAAAATATTGGAAAAGAAAAGATCAATCCAGAGTTTATGCGATGAGTATTTCTTTCAAAAGGAAAGCAAATCGGGACCTCACTCCTTCAGTCATACAAAAGCTGAAAGCTGGAGGCATGGCTCAAGTAGGAGAGGGCCTGCTTAGCAAGCACCAGGCCTGAGTTCAACCCCCACACTGCCAAAAAAAAAAAAAAAAGGAAAGAATTCATCACCTGCAGACTTGCTGTACTAGAAATGTCAAATGAAAATCCTTTAGGCAAAAGGAAAACGTTACCAGATGGAAATAAGGATCTACATGGAAGAAGAAAGGACCCAGAAATGGCAAATACATGGGTAAATATATAAGACTTTTTTCTAATTTTAAATATCTCTTTAAAAAATAATTGACTGTTTAAAGCTAGTAATAATATATTGTGGAGTTTACAACATCTGTAGAAATAAAAATGTATGACAAAGACTAAGGGAGAAAGGAGAAATGAAAGTATTCTGTTTCTAAGATGGGTGCCAGTGGCTCACACCTGTAATACTAGCTACTTGGGAGGCTGAGATCTGGAGGGTTGAGGCTTGAGGTCAGCCTGGGCAAATACTTCTGGAGACCCCCATCCCCAAAATAATCAGAGCAAAAGGGACTGGAGGTGTGACTCAAGATGTAAAGCACCTGCTTTGCAAGTGCAAAGCCTTGAGTTCAAATTCCAGTCCCACCAAAAAAAAAAAAAGTATTCTGTTGCTAAGTTCTTATACTATACATGAAGAGGTGCGATGTTCTTACACCTCTTAATCCTCTTAAAAGTAGACTATGACATACTAAAGATGTATGCTATAAACCCTAAAGCAACCACTAAAAAAATTAAAAGTTATATCTAATAAGCAAACAAAAGAGATAAAATGGAATCCTAAAAAATGTACTCTATCAAAAGAAGAAAAATGAACAAGATCAAGTGTGAGGAACAAAACACAAATGACAAAAATAGTAGATTAAGCCTGAACATAACAATTAGATTAAGTGTAGATGGCCTGAAGACCACAATTAAAAAGCAGAGATTGTCACACTGAATAAAAAACAAGGCTGAAGGATACACTTGTGGCTCAAGTGGTAATAATGTGTTTGGGCCCTGAATTCAAACCCAATACAGCCAAAAAAAATTCAAAGGCTGAACTAAACACGGCCTACAAGAAGCCTGCTTCAGGCATAATGACAAAAAACGAGCCAAAACTAAAAGTATAGAAAAAGATCTCTCATGCTAACATTAACCAAAAGGAGGTAAAGTAGCAGCTGGATATGGTGGCACATGCATGCCTGTTTTCCCAGCACTAAGGAGGCAGGGGTAGGAGGATCTGAGTTCAAGGCCAACCTGTGCTACATAGTGAGACCTTGTCTCTAAATAAATAAATAAAGAAGCCGAAGTACCTATATTAATATCAGACTAGATTTCATAGCAAAGAATATAATCAAGAACAAAGAGATCAATTCATCAAGAGTATACAGTGATCCTAAACATTTATGCACCAGTAAGTCTCAGCCCACCAAAATGAGAAAATAGATGTCTTTCATGGTTAAAATGCAGTATCAGCATTCTTGAACTCAAAATGAACACAACACAAATGGGGCTTAAGATTTTATGTAATAAATAGGATGCAATTTTACTAATAAAAATACAGTATCTCCCAAAGGGTCAAAGGTAGTTAAGTGTGTTAAGCAGCTTATCAAAAACATTTATGACTTCAGTGCCCAGCTGATCAAAGTGATCTAAAGCTGACTCACCTTTCATATTGCCTATCTCTTGGTAATGAAGCACTCCAATGTCCAAAGTCCATGATTAACATAAGCAAAAGGAGGCAGGATATGAAGAACAGTCCCAGGAATGCCACCCGCTGACGGAGAAATGGGCTCACTGTGGGCACAGTGAAGTACCAGGAGGCTGGACAGATGTAGGAAAAACTGATCCTGAAGTGAGGCAAACAGAAAAGTCTGGAAAGTCTTTAAAATCCGTGCTTAAAAATGTTTTTTAAACTGGATAAAAACCCTCTTAATAAAGGCAAAAATTCATGCCAACAGCAGTCTAAATGTTCCTTTAGCCCTGAATTTTAGAAAAGATTCTGATTTCCCTGGTTCATGATGCTTCTACTATGCATATCAGAAAAGCCTTATCTGCTTCCCCCACTCGCCCCCGCAACTCTGCACTTTGAGTGTAACTCAAAGAATTAATCTCATATTAATGAAAAGATCACCAGTTTCCCTGGGCAACTTCACAACACTGGAGAATCAGACCAACTACAGGGATATGTAGATCCACATTAATCTTTTTAAAAAGCCTCATAATATTATAGTGTATGGATAAATATATTTGAAGTTCACTTTCTATATTCATCCAAAACGACCTAAGTCTGTATGCTTTTAAACTAAAAAAAAACAAAGAAAAAAACCTCTAATTGCCTCAAGGGACACCTAGTTTCACTAAGATGGAAATTTGAAACATTTTAAGCCATCACTTTTGGGGTTATGGGCTGTGAACTATTACTGTACTTGCCTTCAAAAGAATACAACTTTGACCATCTTTGAATACACCTGACCAAGATGCAAAGTCCAGGTGCAGCCCTAGGACAACTCTCAGCCTCCTGTGAGCCCACCAACCTGCCTGTCACCCTCCACCGAGCCCCCTGCCAGGGAGAAAGTGTGCAGCCTTACCTAGCCATGGGTTCCCTTTATTGGTCTCAACGTCTGTCACCTCCTTTTCCTTTTGCCCTGAGAAGGTGGCCTCCTTGTCCCAGGCATCTCCTAAGGCTGCAGCCTGGAAAGAGTTGGCTGGGTTTCAGCTTACCTCCAGCAGTGCCCACGACACTGGACCTCCACAAGAATTCCACATCAAGAATTCCACATCAAGAATTCCACATCTCCCTCCCACTCCGTGTCCGTCCGCACATGTTCGTCAGGCCCAGCAGACGCTTGCCGGCATCCAGAGAGCCAAGCGTTCTCGTGGGCCAGCTCTGTCCTCGAGGAACCTGTCGTGCCCAGGTGGAGGGGATGCGGGTCCCCACTTCCTCTCCCCATCCCTCCCGGGCCCGCAGCTCTCCCGCCTTCCCACTCACGGGATCCAGCAGCCCGCAGGTCCCTCTGCACCGCTCCGCTCGGTTCACCACGGCTCCCTGCGGCCTCCAGCCCAGCCGGAAGGAGGGCCCGGGCCGCGGCGGCGCCACGTCCCCAAGGAAACCGCACTGAGCCAATGAGTGCCAGGGGACCCGAGAGAGAGGCCCGCCCCCCACGCTGCAAGAGCCATGGACGAACCCGCGGTGTCTGCCCCACGTCCCGTCCGCCAGGGTGGCCAATCCTGCAGAGCGGCTGGCCTCTAATGCCCGCCCCGGGATTTCGAGCCGCAGCCAATCGGAAAGGCGTCGTACCGAGACTCCTCCTGGAGGGGCAGGTGGTGGTGGCACTGGAGAGCAGCGCCTGGGCGCGCCGCGCCCGCTGCCCTCCCGGGGGCGCGAGTTCTCTACTGGTCGCTGTTTCTGCTGCGGCCCCAATGAGTGGAGGGTTCGCGACAAAGGTGCATCCCTTTCCCACAACCTACTGGAGGTTTGGTGCCCACTAACCTCCCCGCCAGAATAACAGTTCTCCCACCTCAAACCTTCCCTATCGCCCCCTACCCCTAAATTGACGTCTCCCAGCTCCATTATCTTGTCCCGTGGAGGAAGAGGGGAGGAGGGAAACAATAGGAGACAAGGATGTCTACATCAGGTGCTTATGTCCATTCAACATTCACTGAATGATTGAATGTCTACTGTGTGTCATTTTGAGCTTCTGTGTCACTTCCCTTCTTGGACTTTACAATAACACAAAGGCAACAGTTCCTTCATGTTTTTATTCTTCGCTTACACCAGCCCTAACTCCCGAAGCAGGGAGCTGCTTCGACAGTATGAAGTCTAATCTTTCTCCAGCGTGTCACATCCATCTTTGTCCACCACCTGCACCTACGGGCTCTCGGGCAGTAATCCTGACCTCTCTTACTAGGCTCCAGCAAACCACCGTTGTGGGTTTTGACTTTTTATGCTTTGCTCATTCTGCCCATCCACCTGTTTTGAATAACCTTCCCTGCCTCTTAGCCTTCTGAGCATCCCTTATCATCTGCCTCCAAAAGCCTTACCTGACATACACCTCCTTTACAAATGCCCGTTTTGTTTATTCACTTTGAATCACAATTGTTATTTATCTACCCCACTAGCCAGAATATCCTTGAGAGCAGAACTATCTGCCTCTGTATATTCCCAAAGCTGGCCACCCTCTGGAAAATAAGACAGGACTAATATTTGATGAATGACTGTAGGAGGGAAAAAAAGGAAGACCACGCAAATGAGATCAAAGAGGATTTTTTTTGCCCCCAAAGATGGCTAAAACCAGGGAGCCATTCACTGTTGCCGCATTTGGCAAACGCAAAGGGAAGCTTAATAGTGAAAGGTCATGTGTACTCCGACTTGGGGATATTAACTGCAGGTATCTAGCTAACTAGAAGCAGGGCATTTTATGTGATTGGTTCACAGGAGTGTATTCTCCTATCTCTAGTTGGTCCTGAGTTGGGTGGGGGGTGGTCATTGATCAGGTCCTGATCATTCTGGACTGATTGCTACAGAGGTGATGGGTCAGAGTTCTGTCATGTATGATCTGGCCATTGTCTAGTTTGTACATTCAGTCTCTCATGACTATTGTTTTCTCTGTCAACTATTCTCTCAAACTGGTTGTCTTCCTAACTTGTCTTTTCTCCTTCAATTCTCCTTTCTCAATTTTCTTCCTTCTCAATCCCCACACTTCAGAATCCCCACCTGTGCCCCAGAAACGATGGAATAAAACAGGTGCATAAAGATGTAAATTTATACAAAATTATACAAATATCAGGTATTTTTTTATCATTCCAGAACTCAGTTCATTGCTTAAAACAAAGTAGACATGGAAAAAAATTCAAAAATGTCTTGGAATTTTTTTTAATTTGAGTTGCCTTTGTGAGTTCTAAGTCTAATCTATATTTCAAACTTAAGTGTTTGACAAAATGGGTGGTTTTGAGGGTAAATAGAATTCCTGTCTATATTTTAAACAACAGGAGATTGGTGGAGTGACAAGTGGTAAATGCCTGAGTTCCAACCCCAGTACTGAAAAAAAAAAAGTTTTAAACATGCACTTCATATGACCGTATTAACATACAATTCAAAGGTGCATTAAAACATTCTCTAAAATTAGAGGATATAAATAACTACTGTTAGAAAACAGAAAAGAAACTACGTTTTAGTCCCAAGACTCTCATAACATTTTCTTTATGAGACTTTGATGGTTTGGTTTAGACAATACTTGCTTTAATAAATCCATACACCCTCAGGAATTTATTAAGCATGATTCTTTATAAAACCCTGCAACTCTTATCTGATTAACAGCTCACAGGGCTGAGTTCTGAGGTTTCCAGTCAACAGGCCAAATAAAAAAGGATTGAGACCATTTCTACTTGGTGTAACTCAACATGTTGAAACAAATTACAGAAACCCATATTTCAAAACAGGTTTTTAACTGCTCTTTAAAGGCTTGTCTATAATTACATTAGAATTTTTGTCAAGATGCCCTTATGTCCAGCCCCAAACAAAATCAGCCAAACCTGTCCCATACTAGGTATCAGTAGCCTGCATTGCTTCATTTCCCCTTTATAAGTTCTTCCTTTCCACACTTCATCCTCTAAGGGAGTTTATGTAGTTTTCAACCTTCCATATCTGTTCTTCTGTCTTCGTGGATCTTTAAAGTACTTCACTGTTCAAAACCCAACTTAACTATCTCTCAACTGTCTCCTTATCCACCCAAACTTCCTCCATCCCTATCCCCATCTTTGACAAAATACCCTGAGATTCACCCAAGCAGGAACCTGTTTGAGAGTCGCTCTAGAATCTCTTCTACTTTTTTTCTGCATTTCCAGCCAATTGGCCATTAGGTGTTCTTAATTCAAGTGCCTAACATCTTCTTCTGACAAGCCTTCCAACTGGTGGGTCTGCCTCCAGACCTGTGCTCCCCAAATGCCCCTCCAATCTGACATTACTGTGAAATCTACTCATTCTACTTCCTGACCTAAAATTCTTCAGTGAGCCCTTATCCCAACAGAATATAGTTCAAATTCCTTAGCTTGGTGTGGCACATTTTGCTGATTGCCCCCAAAACTAATAACTCTCTCCTCCATCTTGTTAACTTGTTGAGTAACCACACTCCAATGTTTGGCTGTGTGTTTGAAGAGTGCTAGTCTCCAACCCCAGCCCCAGGAGTAAACTTTGATTGGTCTAAATCAATCACCATGGGCATGCACACCAAACATTAGTTTAAACATGGACATATGGGATTTTTGCTAATAATACTGAAATGAAGTCAGCTGTTGGCAGGGAGGAGAGAAGCTATTTCTGAGAAAGGTTATCTCCCTCTTTAAAAGCTACAAATCAAAAAAGTTTATGCAATAAAAGAAAAGGACTCTTTTCTTCCTTCCTGATGTAACTTTAAGGGTTTAATGCCTGGAGCTGCTGTACTCATCTCATAATCATGGGGAGACAAGTCTGGGAATAACAGAATGGAAATACTATATAGAAAAAAAACTACATCATTGATGACATCACGGACTAAGACTGGCAAAGACTAACATGTTCATAATATACTATGTTGCAGAAGGGGTAAGAGCACTTCATTCTTCCAGATGCTGAGGTCTAAAACCTAGGAGTCATCCTTAATTCTACCTCTTTCTCCCACACACCACATTCAGTCCATCAACAAAACCTGTTGGTGCTACCTTAAAAATGTATCCAGAATCCAGCTATTTCTCACTAACCCCATTGCTACCATCCTGGTCCAAACTATTACCATTTCTTACTGGATTATTGCAGTAGCCTCTGAACTGGACTTCCTACATTCTGAAGTCTGTGATCAGTATGAATCTTTCAAATCTAAGCCAGTAGCTTTTCATCTCACTCAAGAGTAAAAGCCCTATCCTCATAACCTACAAGTCTATGCCATCTGCCCAACACACACACACACCCTCCCACCTCTCTAACCTCATTTTCTCACTGTTACTTCCTTCATTCCATTTACTCTAGTCAAATAGGCTTCCTTACTATTTCTAGAACATGACAGGCTCTCTCTTACTTTAGGTCTTTTGTACTTTTGTTCTCTTCCCCAGAGATTTTCTGCATCTTCTATTACTACCTGGTCTTACTCCCTGATCCTCCTTCTATCTTTATTAAAATAGCTACTTCTCAGTGAGACCCTCCCTTCCATCCTATTTCAAATTATAACTGTCCTTTCCACCCACACTTCCTATTCCCCTTCCTTGCTAGATCATCATTTTAGTAAATGCATTGTTTTAATTTATTTGCTGGTGCTGAGGATTAAATCCAGAGCCTCACACACACTAGGCTGAGCTACATCTCCAGTCCTATTTATTGGTTTATTGTTTTTCTCCCTACAACTAGAACAACTCCATCAGAGCTGCAATTTGGCTCTAAAAATGAAAAAGAAAACTCATTATGTTTTCATATGAGATCCCAAAGAAATATGTTAAACCAGGCTTAGTGTTTCAAACCTGTAATCCCTGCACATGGGAGACTAAGGCAGGAGGATCATGAGTGTGAGGTTATCTTGAGCTACAAAGCATGATCCTGTCTCAAAGAGAAAAGAAATACTGTCTTTTGTTATTGTTGGCAGTAACTGGAGTTTGAATTCAGGGCCTCATAATCGCTTGGCAGGCTTTAGCTTTTGTTGGCCAGGGCTGGCCTTGAACCATGATTCTCCTGATCTCTGCCTGCTAAGTAGCTAGGATTTACAGTGAGAGCTGCTGGTGCCTGGCAAAAAATATTGTTAAATAAAAAACTGGTGACTAGCAAACACTCTAATTTAATCACTTATAAAAACTAATTTGAGCTAGATCATAGTCCTAGATATAAAGGAATAAAACCATAAAACTTGTCAAAGAAAAATGTATGTTAACATCTTAGTGGCATTGGGTTTGATATAGATTCTTTTTTTTTCAGTGCTGGGGTTTGAACTTAGGGCCTATACCTTGAGCCACTCTAACCCTTTTTTGTGATGGGTTTTTTCTGATAGAGTTTCACGAACTATTTTGCCTGGGCTGGCTTTGAACCGTGATCCTTCTGATCTCTGCCTCCTGAGTAGCTAGGATTATAGGTATGAGCCACTGGTTTCCTGCTATGACAAAGATTTCTTAGATTCAACAGTAAAAGCAAGAACCACACTCACACACACACACACAAATTAAAAGTGGTCTCCATTA